TTTTTCAATCATAATATTTCTTAGTTCAGGAACCGGTATTTTTTTTTTTTAGTGTAAAATAATTATAGATGTCCGGAAGATACGATGGAAGATTGGAGTGATGAACCGGAATATTTGATAGCAATTGAAGATCGCGAGTTACGTCAATTTGCTTTGGAAATTAATGCGCTATGGAAAAAACTCTGTCATATTGTTAAGCCTGAGGTCATCTTCGATGAGTAATATTCTATAGCAATCTGGACTAAGTTTTATATTTAAGGCTAAAAAAATTGACCTTTATGATTATAAAATAACATTTTTTTTTTTTTTTACATTTTAAAGACCACAGTGTTAATATTTGATAAGAAAATTTTCAGGATTTTGATAAGGTTTATTTTATAGCCCAATATAATTATGATAAATATTTCAGGATATAGCAATGGAATAGGTTTAATGCTTGAAAATAGAGAAAATCAATAAATATATGCAGATTAAATTAATTAATTAATTAATTAATTTCTACATTAGCTCCCTGGTTTATTTCTACTTTCATTCAATTCTAAAAATTCAATTAGATAAGCTATCAGTTCAGGTAAAGAGTAATCCGAAGCGTTATTCGGCAATATATTTACCATATGAATTTATGATAGCAGGTGGTCGATATCGTGAATTTCATTACTGGGATACATACTGGATCATAAAGGGTTTGCTTGCTTCAGGTATGTTTTATCATTTTGATAAGATCAATTGAGTTTTATTGAATTATATTCGGGAAATTTAATCGCTTTCTCAACTATCCTTCTAGTTTTTTTCTTACTTCTTTTCATAGTTTCATCATTTTTTTTCTTAAATTAATTCTTTTTAATTACTAAAACTAATTTATCTATTGGAATTGAAAAACTTATTACGATTCAGTCTTTTATCACCCTATAATACTTCGTTATATTTGCATAATGCATAAGGTTATTGTTACAAGATATTTTGAATCATTTTACAATAAATTAGAATTATCAGAAAAAAATAATTATTCAATAGCAATATGATAGCATTACAGTATCCATCTCTTTTTTACAGTATGTATTCTATATTACAGTATCCATTCCTTTTTTGAGGTATGCATGATACTGTAAAACATATACTTCAAAATTTCAAATATTTAATTGAAAAATATGGATATATACCAAATGGTGGTCGTACTTATATGTTACAACGTACTCAACCACCTTTTTATATTCCAATGGTTTACGAATATCATACTGTAACGGCAGATGATGAATTTCTGCTCAGTGTTATGAGTACTATGGAAGCGGTAATATTTCTCGAAATATTTAAATTTTCAAACGAATAACAACATTTATTTGG